AAATAGAACAATTCCTTATGTCGTGTATCATCAATTAATGCAACCTCAGATGCTATGTTTCAAAAATTTTGATTCTAGTATTGAACGAAATGTTACACCTAAAGGTCCTTTATTATGGGTCAATCCTACTCCACTAGTTCCAATAGACACCATAGGAGAAGAAGCACTATACCTAGGAATCAACAACACTAAAACTTTGTTAGAAATTACCCCTTTCCTTATCGGGCTCGGGACTAAAAGAATTCTTAGGTAATTATGAGGTTGATCATGCTTCACTTCATTTTTTTTTTTTTTTTTCAATTTCTCTTTTAAATAAGATTCTTTTTTAGATTTATTTTTCTTTTAAAATTTTATTTTTCACTAAAAATTTGAAGACGTTACGCTTACTTTGTCTGCTAGCTTCGTTACATTGTACCATGTTTTACGACAAAAACTCCATGAAAAATAGGGTACTATGCCGGTCACCAAACGAGTGCGTTGCCTCTCACTAGTTGCATAAATGGAAAAGTGAAACAGAATATGACGAGTGAAAATTTTATTTGTGATAAAACGTACAAAATATTGTGGAAATGTTGTATGAAAATTTAATTCTAGGTCGATGTCTATAAAGAGTCCAAGGCTATAAAAGTATAGCGAGACCTCCGTTTATCTCTTTGATGCTTGCTTGTCATTTCCGACCTTAATTTTATCAAGTATCTTGTAAAAATATCTGCACAGTGGCCTATACTTGTGCTAGATTTCCTCATGAACAAGGCATTAATATTCACGATATAATTTCAGTCTATAATATTCCAAAGGGTTCACTATCAACTAAAAGTTAAATAAGTTGTTTCATCTATTCAAATTTTATTATTTAACTATCTTTATGATAAATTAAATTAACTTGAAGTTTTTGTTTCTTTAGCTCTTACAAGCGCTTAAAAATACCACCAAATGAATGCCCCGGCAAAAAGAGTACCTATGCCGGTCGCTTCACTATCCACATTCCCCATTGTTGGATTTTTTGATACCCAATAAATTCGGAACATGATTTAAAACAGTTAACGGATAATTTATCAACAACATAGACTTGGCTCGACTCGAATACTACCAATACTTTTGGAAGGCTAAAGTTGGAGATGGATTTGTGGCTTTGTTTAGTGTGTGGTTTGGACCATTATTAGTCCATTAACTTAGCCCATCCTTGTTTCTAAGTTGGTCCAGTTCACTGGCCCAATTAGTGTGAACCAGTTTGTATTGGTATACATATTCATTCTTCTTGTAGAATTACGAGTGGTGCAAAATTGAGAGAAGAGAAAAGAGAGGGAGCCGTTTTCTTGTTACTTGATGTCCATTGCTTTCTTCTTGTTTTTCCTTCATTCCTGAGTGGTCTTTTGCATCCACTCATTACTAATCCTTTGTGGGTTAGTAAGAAGAGAATCTTGGAGCAATCAAGTAGAGGATAGTATTTGGGAAGATCTTGAAACCGTGTGGTGTCAATTTTGTTTTTCTGAGCCAGATTGTAGTATGATTGGAGGCCAATAATCTTACACCCATGTTATAAGACATCGTCTATCAAGAACTCTTCTCGTCTTACCCAATCTTCTAATGAGTGTGTTGCCTTTTGATCTATATACTAGGATGCATAGTAGTAGGAGTGAACCTGAACAAAAGTATTAGGGAGAGAGTGACATTTTGAAAATATCAATAAACAAAAAAAAAAAAAAAATCGCACATACTTGATCGCACTCTCCTCCAAGTGATATATATATTAATTATTGGGCCAACCTTGCTGGGTCAGGTTTAGGGTGGACTAAAACTTCCCTAGCCCAAGCAACGGTCAGCCCTTAACGTTGAAAGTTACAAGAAATTAAAATATACGTAGACGTGTCACCTGTTGAGAATAAATTGAGGCAAAAGTATATATAGACAAGTTATAAATCACAATCACTAAAAGACACGAGGAAGTAAATATATAGGATTTTAATACTAGATTGTAATTTATGGAATTTATAGAAATTGAGACTCCATTTTTCAATCCTAAAAGTTTTAAAATTTTATATTTTCTCTGTCCAAATATGGGCTTCTTGTTCTTTTAAAGGTCATATATTAATTATTAATGAAAAGCCAGTTTTTGGAATTTTGGATTTGTTTTATTATTTGACTTATTAAAGTAATATATTTTGTCAGAAAATCCAAATGTCAATTCATGCTGGAATTTCCATTAAAGTAAACAAAAGAGGAGTGAAATTAATTTTTGGTAGGAGTTCTAAAAGAATCAGATAAGGATCAGATCAAATTGGATTTTTAGGAGATTGTTTCGTTCAAAAAAAAAAAAAAAATCTTAAATTTACATGCAAAATTATTTTATTGATAAAGGACTCAAACAAAAAAGCCCGATCATATTTTTGACAAAATAGTTGGTTGATTCGTATTTGTGATGTTGATATATATATTATTTAAGTCGAATCAAATTGAACTGTATTCAATACTAAGCGAAGTCCCCAAATTTTGATTTGTGTCGCATCTTGGTCCAAATATTCAAAGTAGAGCATTTACATCTCCAATATTTCATTTTACAATATTGTTACACATATATTTTAGTTGACATTCTGCTTTATATTGTACTATGTGAGACACAATTTTACTATTGATTTCTCCAATACTTAAACCAATCAACAATCTCGATTTTGCCACGTATTCAAATGTCATCCAATTTATAGGAAAATAATGTATCTGTAGCATAATTGTTCATCTTAATAGCACTTAGGTCCCAACTGGACAATAGTACCTTATAGTTAACAAGCTAAAATTTCATTGAAAAGATAATATCATTGTTCCCTATTTGTTTCGATATTTTTTTTTTCATTTTATCCAACAAAATTGAATGAAAAGTTACACTTAATTATATTTATTGTCAATGTTCTAGAAACGTAAATCGTGATGAAGTTTGAAGGTCAAGCTTAGCCCTAGACCTAAAAAAACGTTTTCTTATTTAATATTATTTTAAATTTTTAAATGAATCTAAAAATTATTTAATAATTAAAACAGCATGAAAAAGCATAAAAAATGTTAATAAGGAGGATCTATGAAAATATACATAATTCTCAGCTCGAATGTCGAATTTTCATCTGTGAGACAATATGGAAGCGTTTCTCGATTGTGCACATATTTTTTTTATGACTTTACCTAACTTTTGGGGTCAAATTTTGTTGTTTAGAACTCTATTTTAATATTTTTCTCTTTTGAGTCAGTTTAAAGGTATTTTCATCATTTTTACCGTATTTTTGTTTTATTCAAGTTTGTTTAATAGTTTTTTAGTTTATTTGAATTTGTTTGTAGAATTAGAATTTCACTTTGATTATGATTTGTTTTGAATCTATAAATACCCGTTAAAATATTTTAGTTTTCCCGTTTATTAGTGAATTCCAAATAGTTATCACATATGTTTGTGTGTTACGGAGAAAATACTTTTATTATTATTTACGTTTCAGTCCTGCATCAATTAGATGATATGTACTATTGTGTTGGTATCAAATCTATAAAGGGATGATGCCACAAACATTGGAATTACAGATTTAAGTATTGAAATTTGGGAGGTTGTCGATTGAAACAAACCAAATCAACATCTGTTTGATTATTATATTCATTTGATTACAATTGGAATTATGATCAACTGATTAGCGAAAGCCTCAACGCAAAGGCAATGCATAAGCAAACAACAAGTAAGACAATTGAGAATCTTCATCAGACTTGTTTTCTTCACTCTGTAATCTGATTAGACCCCTCATTAGAAAAATATTAAGAACCCTAATTTCAAAAAGCAAAGTAATCTTATCATTAATCTTTTCATTTAAGCATATTATTTAACCAGTTCATACAAAAGTGCCAAATAGTTATTGAGAAAGTTGGATACTTTTGGAAGATCATCTCTTGATTATAGGGGATTGATTACTATTCCATAAAATAAAGGATATTTCTAATCACAGATCATGAAATATGAGGTTGATTAGCCGCCTACTTTTACATGGTATCAGAGTCGAGACTCTTTCCCTCGGATTGGTTTCTTGGGTTTGCACCCAATAGCCAAGAATTCTCTCTTCGAATGAAGTTTAGACTATATTTCAACCGTATTTAGCAATCATCAGCCACTATACCATGGGAGATCATCCCATCAACTTAAATTATGATATTATCGATGCGATCATACATAAATAAAGAAGATATATATAAATAAGGGATAAAAAAATATTGTTCTAATGTCATAACACTCCAGAGGCTACCATCAACATAATGATTTTACATCAACCTTCTGTTATATTCCTGATAATCATGAATATAGACTTCAAAGAAAAAAAAATGGATAAGAATTTTGACTTCCTCCATTTGTCCTAGAGTAATTTTTTAAGACAATCGACGGAAATTGAAATCAAGATTTACCTAACACAAAATTACTGTCGACATTCTCTATCAAACAAGGCTATTATTATGGGGAATTAGGAAGACTTGTGTGTCTACGTATGATTAACAACGTATTAATTCTTTACCATGAAGGAGACAGGTGGGTCCCAAGTGGACTACTAATCACAAGTTATTGATAATTATTGATTAAATATTTATATTATATTTGGCATGTAAACATCCAAGAAGACTTCACGAAGGAAAGAGGACTTCTCATGGAACTTTACCAGAATAAAATTCTTTATAATAAGAGCACCAATAGCAAGTCTTTCCATTTGTAATTTATTGTTTAATTGTGTAAAAATCTGTCCCCAAATTGAAATATATAAATGATAACCTGACTTTAGAACTCAACACACCTGCTCCTCTGCAAGTACAATCAAGAAAATGATGCAATCAGAGAGAATTCTACCCTCCTGGGAAACCTTTGACGTCCCATGCTCAAATCTTGATCAATCGAGACTTTATGATCCACCTATGGATTTTCTCATGTGGGATAATCTAGATTTTTCCTCTTCACCTGAAGAATTATCTGTTATTTCTTCAAACTCAAATGTTCCAACCATGTTTTCTGATGAGTTATTTGATCTTCCAAATTTGAGCGATGATATTTTCATCCCTTCACCCATGGAGGGATTGGAGACTATTTCCAGTGGAGAAATCGCAGACATCTGTGGGTGGACAAATGAAAGTGATTATGAAGCAAATTTTATAAATCCTGTCCCCACAAATGGAGAAGAATACAGTCCTGGTTTTTCACTGGAATCCAGTGAGGATTCAGTGGTGTTTCCATTGACGAATGGGTCTAATACGTTGCCAGGAGACATGGAAATGGACAATGAAACGAGTCTCCATCACCTGATAAAGGCCTATGGAGAGGCCACAGAGAATGGACAGCAGGAGCTTGCCCGGGTGATTGTTAACTCTATAGAGGAGAAGAGCAATCCCCTCGGAAAGACAATGGAAAGGATAGCTTTCTATTTATTCCAGTTGAAACAGAATCAAGGCGATTATCTGAGACAAGAATCACTCAGGAATTTTACAGCTGCGTTCAAGGCGTTCTACCAAGGTCTTCCGTATGGGAGATTAGCTCATTTTGTTGCCAACTCGGCGATTCTAGAAGCTATGCCAGATGATGCAGAAACAATTCACATAGTTGACTTTGATATTGGAGAAGCGATACAATGGCCTCCAGTTATTGAGGCCATAAGTCAAATGCATAAGGCGCTAAAATTTACATTGATAAAATCAGATGATGAATGCAGTTCTCCTTGTTGGGACATTGAGGAAACGAAACAACGGCTCCAAGATCATGCAAGAGAACTTGGTCTGAAACTACAAATTGACGAAAAGAGTGTTTCAGATCTAGCAAGTGAAATAACCAGGACGAAGAAAAGAGGACAAGCCAGAGAGTGGTTAGTGTTCAACTGCATGTTTAGGCTTCCGCACATGGCTAGAAGGAGGCAAAGAAGTCATGCCACTAAGTTTCTACAGGTAGCCAAGAAAATACTAGCCAATTATGGAGCCTCCGCAGGAATGGTGACTCTTGGTTATGGAGAAACAGAATTTTGTTCACGTACTTCTTCTGGTTTTAGTTCATTCTTGGACAAACTATTGAAGCATTATCAAGCCCTATTCGAATCATTAGAACTGAGTTTCCCAGTTCATCTAGCTGATGCCAGAACAGCCTTGGAGAGTCTTTTTCTAGTACCTTATATGAGTTCCCTTCATTGGTTTCTAGACTTGGAGAAATTGATGGAAAATTCTGATCTTCAATCAGAAACCGGATTGGAGGGCCGAAAACTGAGCAAACAAAGCATAATCGAAGCTAAGCAGATTGTGAACGAAAGAGAGAACACATACAAGGTGAAGATCGAAGGACACAGAGAACATGAGATGGTGTTGGAATGGAAGGGCACTCCACTAGTAAGAGTTTCCACTTGGATGTGAAGACACTGGAAACTAATAGTGTTAGGCGAACATTCTTTTCTCTGGGTAGGAAGTGTTTCTTATATTTAGATTCTTGATCCTGATCTCTCATTAATTGGTCATGTAAAAATGTTGTACAAATTACAAACATCAAACATATAAAATAGTATAGTTTCATAAAGAGATGCTGAGACAACGAAATTCTAGCATATCAAACAATTTAGAAAACACAAACTGCATGAAATGGATAAAAGATGATTAACACAGAAGTAATAATACCTGATTCTAAGCTCAAGAGATTCAGATTTCTGGAATAAAGCGTGGGTCGTGGGAGACGAAAATAAGAGCCAAAACCTGTCACTTTTTCTGTTTGTTTTTTCAGTGCACGATCAAAATCTATTAATTAATATTAAATGGATTTTATACCATCTGATGCATTCAGATGTGTATAAAATCTGTACCTGATGACCATATATAAAACAAGCAAATGTATCATCATCACAGTTCCCAGCAATTTAAGATAGCTGTTGTTTTTGTTCTTTTCTTTTTCTTTTTTTCCTTCTTTTTCATCGCTCATTATACCTTGTCAACAGTGTCGCGCGCAAGATACATGAGCAGTCAGCAGTTAACAACAATTTTGATAAGAATCTGTCGATAAAATTTGATATGTACTAAAATGACAGAAGGAAAAAAAAACATTGAATAGGGATCCCCAAGTGTTTATTCCTGGGTAGAACATCAACATGAACAGCTAAGGACAATTCTTTTTTTTTTTTTAGTTTGTCAGTGAGACCCTCGAATGCTAATAAAATTGAAGGTTAGGAATTCAAATGCCACGATCCGCATGCCTCTTTTGAGGATTAGTATAGGTACAAATTTTCAGAAGTGCCTCATCATAATTCCCAGCAATCCATTCCATGCAAACAACCTGGATATATTATTTGCAGTATCAAACCTGTTAAGCGAGGTGAAAGGAAGGTCAGAAATCTAAATGCTAACATATATTGAATGGAGACTCGAATGTTCTTACGAGTACATAATATTAGATCTGTAAGTAAAAAATTCCAAATAAATATCTCATCACAGTTCCCAACACTTCAGCAAGCAAGAAATACTGTCCACACAACATTGGAATTTCGGATATAAATGAAGTTGATGTCCTTCTTATTATAAAATAAGAGCCGAAGATTGAAACCCATTTTTGACGTAGTCGATATTCAAATTGGAAACGTTATACTTCTCGAAAAGTTGTAGCACTTTGAATTAGTTTTCCAACGCAATTTGAATCGCCTCAATCGGATATCGGGAAGAGCGAGTTATGACCAAAAATATTGACGACTGTACATAGACAAAAAAACATGCACACGAAGAAGCGAAAGTTCAAGAACTTATCAATTGAAGATTAAACCTGAGATTTGTGAGTAAAGAAGCGAAAGAATTATTGAAGATTTATTAATTTTACTTTGAAGAAATTCAAGAACATCAAAATTCATCTTCCTTTATATATTAATTCACAATTTCTAGTGATATTCTATACATTTAACATGATTTCTTGTATTTCAATATGTTAGGCTAGTTTTATATATTTTTTAGAATGAGATGAACACTTGTTATGATATTTTTTATTTTTAATTAATTATTTTGATTTTAATTTGGTTTGATTTGTGGATAATTATTATCCTTTTTATCGCTATTTTCAATTTCTTGATCACTAATTGAATTGTTAATAAATTTTACTATTATCGAGAGAGGTAATAGGGTTTAAGCACAATATAATAAATATCGATAGATGATATATATGTGTGTGTGTTTTATATGATTTCAATAGGTGTTCTTGTACTTGTTAATATGTTTATCGTGTTTACATCTTTTATTGAGAAATAGAAAGGTGATATGAGAAGAATAGATTTGATTGCTATCGAGAGAAACTTTCAATTAAATTAGGAACATTGACCAACATGAATGATTTCAATTTGTCACTTTATTTGTTACACTAAAATGGAATAATAAAAAGGATTCGATATCTTAGCAATGCATCTCACTTATTAGAAAACACATTTATTTGATTTCACTAGTTTTATTGATAATTTAGGGATTAATATAGAAAAATCACATCTTTTTTGCTATTCGATTAAAGTTGCAATTAATTTTAACTCGATAAAACACATAGTCATCGTGGATTCAACGCTCTATTTATCGTTATATTACTTGATCATGATTCTGTGCACCGTGGGTTTTCAAGTGGTTAATTATCTATCTAATCGCAGCATGTAGAACAGTTCAGACTAATGACCTTATCCATCACTTCAGACAGCAAAGTCATCACATCATTAATCCTATCATTCAAGCATATTACTTAACCAATTCATACAAAAGTACCAAAAAGATAAGTTAGATAAATTTGGAAGATCATCTCTTGATTATAGGGGATTGATTACTATTCCATAAAATAAAGGATGTTTATAATCACAATTCATGAAATATGGGGTTGATTAGCCATCTTCTCTTACATGGTGTCAGAGTCAACACTCTGCTGTTAGTACAGAGAATAATGCACAGAATTGATACAAATTTTTTATTTTCACTCACATGGTTGTGGGCCCCATGTGATAAAAATATTGGCAACCCCACCCCCCACCCCACTGCCGTGTGCATTTTGTATGGTATAGGAATTTGAATTTCTATACCTATAGCATGGTTCCTCTTTTTCAGGGTTGGTTCTCGGATTTGCAATTAGACTTATTTTCTTGAAAAGAAAAGGAATGGTAGATAGAAATAGCTTTCAGAAAAGAAGTCAAAAGATTTTATATTAACCTTGAAATCAATGGTTTTATATAAACCTTTGCAGGTTATGAATAAAAACAAGTATAAACGTTTCAAGATATGGGAGAATTCTATTGATATGAAAAGCTCAAAGAAGAGTGTTAAATTTGTATACTACTAGGTTACAACAGAAGTTTACTCCTCATTTGTACTTAGGATTAATTACCTGATTGGCCACGTAAATTTGCGTAAGGTTTTTAGTGGGTCATCGAACTTCAAAAGTTTTCCCATTAATCACTAAACTTTATAAAAGTTTTCCCATTAGTCACTAAGTAATGAATATGATTATATTTTGTAAAGTTCAGTGACTAACAATGAATCTTTTGAAGTTCTTAGTGATGGATGTGATTACATTTGTAAGCATGGTTCGAGTTGGATTGGTTTGGAGCTCAACTGGAAACCAAAACCAACTTGGTCGGTTATGATAAATTCCAATCCAATCCAATTATTGAAACCGAACCAAACCAATTCAGATCAATGTTGGTCGGTTTGAACATTTGTCGAGTTAAAAAAATTTGCCTACCTATTTTTAGTTTAAAAATTTGTTTGGCTATGTATATTTTTTATTTCTTGCGTAGTACATATTTATAATATATTTATGGTAAATGGTCGATTTTTCTAAAATCATCATATATAGTTCGATAGTGACCAATAAGCAATTACATCAAAATAAAAAGCAATGTTACAATCTACATTTGGAGTTTACAATAAACAATTCTTCTCCTTTCTTTTCTTTTCTTTCTTGCTTCTAAAAAAAATTGGAGTTTTGGTAGAAAAATTGTAGATGGTAAACAAATTATTTGAGAAAGAATTATAGTTTATGTTTTTATTATTTTATTTTAAGTTTAAAAATATGAATTTTAAAATGAAAATTTTTTTTTTAAAGTATTAGAGGGTTGGATTGCTTAATTGACAGTTTGATTGCTTAAACCGCAACCAACCAAACTCGGTTTTTTAATGGTTAAAATTAATCGAACCAAACCGACCCAATTCGATTTTGTTTGGTCGATTTGATCAATTTTTTTGTCCACCTCCTATTTGTAAAATTCAGTGATTAACGAGAAATTTTTTGAAATTCAATGGAAAACCTTACACAAAGTTTAGTGACCAATCGACTAATTTATCAATCTTTATGTTTTTTAGTGTTTTTCTTTCTTTCTTATTTTTTCCTATATTACTACTCCACAATTTTATTCTCTCTAGTATTGTCAAACTCAGAAAAATAGTCTTTATCCCAAGGATAACCGAGATGATTGTTTACTGACCTCTTTAAGATCAAAGAGGCAATAGTGGTCCATTCAGCCAACTACTTCAGAAAAGAACTCCTTCAGCATTGATCAATTCATAGTATCCAACTTTAAAATATACACACATTTTCAGCTAAGAATCTAATAGATATTTTATTTTATTCAGGTGTATCCTGATGGAAATATGATCGTTGTTGAAGCAGACTATAGAATTATCATCTATTCTCTCTTTGATTTTAGAGACGTTAGCAGTCAACCTTGTCGATTAACTTCAGAATAGAAAGCTATTTTTTTCTAAGTTTGACGATACTAAAGAGAATAAAATTGTGGATTAGAAGTACATAAAAAAGAAAGAAAAAAGACTAAAAATATAAAGATTGGTTAATTAGCTGATTGGTCATTCAACTTTGTGTAAGGTTTTCAAAGGATCACTAAGCTTCAAAAATTTCTCATTAGTCACTAAACTTTACAAAAGTTTCCACGTTAGTCACTTTGTGATGGATGTGATTATATTTTGTAAATTTCGATGACTAATGGAGAAGCTTTTGAAATCCTCAGTGATGTATGAAATTATATTTATAAAGTTCAGTGACTAATGGGAAAACTTTTGAAATTCAATGACCTAAAAATCTTACATAAAGTTCAGTGACCAATCGTACTTGTTGATGTCGAAAATTGTATGAACAACATTCAAGCCAACTTAAAGGGAAATGAAAACTTTTTATGGATAACCACACATGAATTACAAGTATAGTTACAAACGTGTTACTCTTGTCTTTTCAAGGAGATATTTGAAATATGATATGTAAGAGCATTTGTAAGTAGAAGCCTCTTTTTTCTTGTTGTTCTATTTCTTCTGCTTCCTCCCTTTTATAGGGAAAAATCTGCATGTGTACTACTTCCTCCATCTCTTCAGCTACAGTGCCGAACGGGGAGGTACATTATTGACAGGTTCGGATTGGTTAATGAGATCGGTTTGTCATGTCATCGTGAATTTTACCTCACTGGTGGTCCCCAATAATTAATGAATTACTTAGGGAGGGAAAGTTAAATCATATGATTGGTAAGTTTAGTGGATGCTAACGTAAGATCACCCATATGTTACTCACTGATTGATCGTTTGTACAATGTGCCAGAAACCAATAATCATTATGTCCCTTCGGGCCTCAATAAATATCTTAATTCGAGCTGACCTCAAATATACCGAACTGCATTAGCACTTGCTCATCAAATATAAGAATTTTTAGTCATTACCCTCGGAGTTCGGATGCCAACAGTACTTATTCTTGACAATCATCAAGAGAAGTGTTAACTCTTCATCTGTACTTATTTTGACTGACTTCATTTGTACTTTCTTAACACCAATTAAAGGCAAGAAATGACATTATAGAGTATTTCTTAGCACCAATTAATGGAAAGGGGTGACAACAGTCTAGAGTAAGTTTTTAAGACAATTGATGGAATTCAAAACAAAAATTATTGTCAACATTCTCCATCAAACCAGGCTGTTATTATGGGGAATTAGGACTTGTGGTCCACACATGATTTAACAACATATAAATCCTTATCCATTAAGATGACCCTGTAGACTACTAATCAAACGATAATGATAAATATTGATTAAATATTAATTAATATATTGGTCATGTAAACATCCAAGAAGACTTAAGGAACAAGGACTTCTGAATTCTAATTGAACTTTATCAGAATAAAATTCTTCTTAATAAGACCACCTATAGACAAGTCTTTCCGTTATAATTTATTGTTTGTATAGACTTTTGAGCTCAATACCCCCTGCTTCTCTCCATAGAAAATCAATAAAATGATGCAATCAGAGAAAATATAACCCTCCTGGGTGATGTAGGATGAATTAGAGGAAGAAATGAATTACAGAATTACAGTAAGAACAGAAGAGAAAAGGAAGAGAGGGAGCACGTAGAGGAGAAAGAGGGAAGACGGGAGGAAAAGTGGGCAACAAGCCAACGTGAATAATTTTCATTTGAGGATGAAATTAATTACAGAATTACAGTAAGAACAGAAGAGAAAAGGAAGAGAGTGAGCACGTAGAGGAGATAGAGGGAAGACGGGAGGAAAAGTGGTCAACAAGCCAACGTGAATAATTTTCATCCATCCATCAACTAACTTAATTACAATGAAAATATCCTTTAAATAGTAAAAACCTAACCAACTAGTGACGGGTTTGGATCAACCCACTACTACAAGTTCAATAATAATAAAAAAACGTAATCAATAAAAATCAACAATAAAATAGATCGTGATGTCCATAACAACTATTTCGGGGTGGGAGGAAAACTCGACACTGTCTAGTGGATAAACTTTTACCACGGGGGACAATCTTTCGTGAGAAAATATCGAAACTCAACAAATGATGCAAACACCAGTTGCAAATTATCCCCCAGAATATGATCTGACCATGATGACCTGGACGTAGGAAGATCTTGCCGACTCCTATAAAGTTCAAATGAATCTGGGTCAAACTGCTGAAGTTTCTTTCTGAGAATCAATGGACAATCAGAATCAGGTGGGTTGACCCAAAAAACAAGGAAGTACTGAATTTCATCATCATTGCTCAATATAATCCGTTCATCTAAAATAATATCAATTGTATCTTTGTGTGCTATGACAAATGGTATTGAAGTAGAAATATCAATATAGACAGGTTGAGGGTCTACAGAGCTTAATAGAAAAGGATCATCAAAGGAATTGAAACAGTGTTTATAAGTAATGAAGTCCTCAATAGTTAAAGTAGAGTGTGGTTGTCGATTGGAGTTATAGTTGGTGGTGGGTGCTCTGGGTTACTATCAACGGCGGTTGAACATTGTTTTTTTTTTTTGTGTAGCCGACGGTTGAACTGTCTGTTGGTTGTAGAAAAGGGGTGCGTTGGGTTGAATGTTGAAGCTATGTAGAGAAGATCAAGCTTGGGTGATTGGGTTGGTTTTTTTTGCGTAAGCAAGTGACAGTTTCACAGTGGTGGTATGGTGGTTAATCGGTGGTGGGCTGTGGGTTTGTGGACTATATGGCTATGGCAATTGTTCGATTTGCAGTTTGGGCATCTTGTTTGCAGGTTATGGCTTGTGTATGGATTGATGCTGGGGGCTGATGCTGGGAGTTGCAGGTTAATTTTTGGGCGTCTTGTTTGCAGGTTATGGTTGGTGCCTATGGATTGACTGTGTATAAGAATTTCCAAGTCTAGCTCTGATATCAATTTGATGCAGGATGAATTGAAATTTCACCATAAAATTAATAAACATAAGATAAAGAAGAAGAAGCCAAAAAAGAATCAAGGGGAAAAGAGAAATGGTTGCAACCAATCTTAATTTCATCATATTCATCAACTGTCCCAACTATTATGAAAAATCCAATAAATAATAAAAATCTAACATACTGGTGATGGGTTTGGGCCAACCCACTACTACAAGTTCAATAACAATAAAAAACGTAATTAATAAAAATCAACAATAAAATAAATCGTGATATCCGCATCACTGGGAAAGCTTTGACATCCCATGCTCAAATCTTGATCAGTCAAGACATTATGATCCAGAAATGGATTTTCTCTTGTGGGATGATCTAGGTTTTTCCACTTCATTAAATTCATCTGAAGAATTCTCTGCTATTTCTTCAAACTCAAATGTTCCAACCATGTTTTCTGATGAGTTCTTTGATCTTCCAAATTTGAGCGATGAAATTTTCATTGCCTCAACCATTGACGGATTGGAGACTATTTCAAGTGGAGAATTTGCAGAAATCTGTGGATGGACAAATGAAAGTGATTATGAAGCAAAATTTTCAAATCCGGTCCCCACAAATGGAGAAGAATACAGTACTTGATTTTCACTGGAATCCAGTAATGATTCAGTGGTGTTTCCATTAACGAATAAATCAAATATGTTGCCAGGAGACAAGCAAATGGACAGTGAATCGAGCCTCCATCACCTAATAAAGGCTTATGGAGAGGCCACGGAGAATGGACAGCAGGAGCTTGCCAGGGTGATTGTGAATATAGATAAGAAGAGCAATCCCCTGGGAAAGACAATGGAAAGGGTAGCCTTCCATTTATTCCAGTTGAAACAAAATCAAGGCGAATACCTGAGACAAGAATCACTCAAGAATTTTAGAGCAGCATTCAAGGCGTTATACCAAGGTATCCCGTATGGGATAATAGTTCATTTTGTTGCCAACTCGGCAATTCTAGAAGCTATGCCAGAATATGCAGAAACAATTCACATAGTTGATTTTTAGGACCATGCTACACTGCCAGAAGGTACAAGCCAACGTGAATAATTTTCATTCATCCATCAACTAACTTAATTACAATGAAAATATCCATTAAATAGTAAAAACCTAACCAACTAGTGACGAGCTTGGATCAACCCACTACTACAAGTTCAATAATAATAAAAAAACGTAATCAAAATCAACAATAAAATAGATCGTGATGTCCATAACAACTATTTCGGGGTGGGAGGAAAACTCGACACTGTCTAGTGGATAAACTTCTACAACGGGGGACGATCTTTCGTGAGAACCAAATATCGAAACTCAACAAATGATGCAAACACCAGTTGCAACTTATCCCCCAGAATATGATCTGGCCATGGTGACCTGGACGTAGGAAGATCTTGCTCCTATAAAGTTCAAATGAATCTGGGTCAAACTGCTGAAGTTTCTTTCTGAGAATCAATGGACAATCAGAATCAGGTGGGTTGACCCAAAAAACAAGGAAGTACTGAATTTCATCATCATTGGTCAATACAATCTGTTCATCTAAAATAACATCGATTGTATCTTTGTGTGCTGTGACAGATGGTATTGAAGTAGAAATATCAATATAGACAGGTTGAGGGTCTACAGAGCTTAATAGAAAATGATCATCAAAGGAATTGAAACAGTGTTTGTAAGTAATGAAGTCCTCAATAGTTAAAGTAGAGTGTGGTTGTCGATTGGAGTTATAGTTGGTGGTGGGTGCTCTGGGTTACTGTCAACGGCGGTTGAACATTGTTTTTTTTTTTTTTTTTGTGGCCGACGGTTGAACTGTCTATTGGTTGTAGAAAAGGGGTGCGTTGGGTTGAATGTTGAAGCTATGTAGAGAAGATCAAGCTTGGGTGATTGGGTTGGTCTTTTTGCGTAAGCAAGTGACGGTTTTGCAGTAGTGGTATGGTGGTTAATCGGTGGTGGGCTGTGGGTTTGTGGACTATATGGCTATGGCAATTGTTCGATTTGCAGTTTGGGCATCTTGTTTGCAGGTTATGGCTTGTGTATGGATTGATGCTGGGGGCTGATGCTGGGAGTTGCAGGTTAATTTTTGGGCGTCTTGTTTGCAGGTTATGGTTGGTGCCTATGGATTGACTGTGTATAAGAATTTCCAAGTCTAGCTCTGATATCAATTTGATGCAGGATGAATTGAAATTTCATCATAAAATTAATAAACATAAGATAAAGAAGAAGAAGCCAAAAAAGAATCAAGGGGAAAAGAGAAATGGTTGCAACCAATCTTAATTTCATCATATTCATCAACTGTCCCAACTATTATGAAAAATCCAATAAATAATAAAAATCTAACATACTGGTGATGGGTTTGGGCCAACCCACTACTACAAGTTCAATAACAATAATAAACGTAATTAATAAAAATCAACAATAAAATAAATCGTGATATCCGCATCACTGGGAAAGCTTTGACATCCCATGCTCAAATCTTGATCAGTCAAGACTTTATGATCCAGAAATGGATTTTCTCCTGTGGGATGATCTAGGTTTTTCCACTTCATTAAGTTCATCTGAAGAATTCTCTGCTATTTCTTCAAACTCAAATGTTGCAACCATGTTTTCTGATGAGTTCTTTGATCTTCCAAATTTGAGCGAGGAAATTTTCATTGCCTCAACCATGGACGGATTGGAGACTATTTCAAGTGGAGAATTTGCAGAAATCTGTGGATGGACAAATGAAAGTGATTATGAAGCAAATTTTTCAAATCCAGTCCCGACAAATGGAGAAGAATACAGTACTTGATTTTCACTGGAATCCAGTAAGGATTCAGTGGTGTTTCCATTAACGAATAAATCAAATATGTTGCCAGGAGACAAGCAAATGGACAGTGAATCGAGCCTCCATCACCTAATAAACGCTTATGGAGAGGCCACGGAGAATGGACAGCAGGAGCTTGCCAGGGTGATTGTGAATATAGATAAGAAGAGCAATTCCCTGGGAAAGACAATGGAAAGGGTAGCCTTCCATTTATTCCAGTTGAAACAAAATCAAGGCGAATACCTGAGACAAGAATCACTCAGGAATTTTAGAGCAGCATTCAAGGCGTTATACCAAGGTATCCCGTATGGGATAATAGTTCATTTTGTTGCCAACTCGGCAATTCTAGAAGCTATGCCAGAATATGCAGAAACAATTCACATAGTTGATTTTTATATTGGAGAAGGGATACGATGGCCTCCAGTCATTGAAGCCATAAGTCGAATGCATAAGGCGCTAAGATTCACATTGATAAAATCAGAAGATGAATGCAGCTCTCCTTGTTGGGACATTGAGGACACGAAACAACAGCTCCAAGATCATGCAAGAGAACATGGACTGAAACTAAAAATTGACCGAAAGAGTGTTTCAGATCTAGCAATTGAAATAACCAGGACGAAGAAAAGAGGATGAGGCAGAGAGTGGTTAGTGTTCAACTGCATGTTTAGGCTTCCGCACATGGCTAGAAGGAGGCAAAGAAGTCATGCCACTGAGTTTGTACAGGTAGCCAAGGAATTACTAGCCAATTATGGAACCTCTGCAGGAATGGTGACTCTTGGTTATGGAGAAACAGAATTTTGTTCGCGAAGCTCTTCTGGATTTAGTTCATACTTGGACAAACTTTTGAAGCATTACCAAGCCCTATTCGAATCATTAGAACATAGTTTCCCAGTTCATCTAGCGGATGCCAGAACAGCCATAGTCATTTTCTAGCTGAAGACAAGAAGATAATTAATAATGTATTCTTAAAAACATGCGATGTCAGAATTCGAACATTGACTGTAGTACAGAGAAAATGCTGGACCTTTAAAAATCAGTGCCTCCAGAACACATAGATATATAATAGTATAGACTCATAAAGAGATGCCGAGACAACAAAATTCTAGCATATCAAACAATTTAGAAACACACTGCACGAAATTTAATCCAAATGGATAAAAGATGATTAATATTGAAGTAATAATACCTGATTCCTTAACCTCAAGAGATCCTGATTTCTTGACTAAACCCTGGGAGACTAAAATAAGAGCCAAAACTTGTCATGTTTCTTTTTTTTTTTTTCATGAGAGTTTCACTTAACACGATCAAAATCCATTAATATTAATTAGATTTTGATACAATCTGATCCGTTCAGATGTGTATAAAACCTTTTGATCTGATGTCACCATATATGAACCAAACAAATGTATCATCATCACAGTTCCCAGCAATTAAAGCAAGAAAGATATAGATGGTAGAAAACCTGTCAAGCAAGGGTGGGTTGGTGGGGGTGGAGGAATATAGCTGCTGTTTTTATTCTTTTTATGCATCACTCGTTATGCCTTGTGAACAGTGTCTCGCGTGCAAGACGCATAATCAGTTAACGACAATTTGATAAAAATCTGTCGATAAAATTTGAAGGATAAGTACTCAAATGAAAAGGAAAAAAAACATTGAACAGGGATCCCAAGTGCTTCTTCCTGTTTAGAACATGATGAGCTAAGGTCAAATCCTTTATTTATTTATTTTGAATTTGTCAGTAAGAACCTCAAATGCTAATAAAATTGAAGGTTAGAAATTTAAATTCCAAGAAAATTAAATCAGGAACTGAATGCCTCTTTTGAGCATTAGATTGGAATTCTAGGTACAAATTTTCGTTAAGTGCCTCATCATAATACCCAGCAATTCATGCAACCAACCAGGATATATTGTTGGTTGGTATCAAACCAGTTAAGTCCGGAAGGAAGAGGTGAAAAAGATTACCCATTTTTCTTTTCTTTTTTATCGAATTACCTATTATGTCTTTGGAACAAAGTCTCTTGCACAAGACACATGATCACTGACCAATTAACAAAAAAAAGGACTCAAATGCAACAAGATTTAAAGGTTAGAGATCTAAATACTAACAAAAATTGAATGGCTAATGTTCTTTCGCAGTTCCCAACAATTCACACAAGCAGGATATAGTTTTGTGTTGGTACACAGCCTCATCCCATGCAATGGCAATGCACAAGCAAACAACAAGAAAGACAACTGATTTATCAAACTTGTTTTCTTCACTCTGTAACTACAAAAATATTAAGAATCATAATTAATAATCAATTAATCAATATTCATATAATCAAATCATGTACAGTTCAGACAAATGAATGATGCAACACTTTCCAAAAGCAAAGTCATCATATCATCAATCCTACCATCCAAGCAGATTATTCAACTAGTTCATACAATTGTTCCAAACAGATATTGGTAGTGTTAGATATGTTTGCCAGATGGATTTTCTCCAATCCATTCAAATCAAGTAATTTAGTGTGATTTCTCTCCAGTAAAATTGTAGGAAAATATGATAACTAGTGAACTAATACAGATCAACATCGAATTTGTTAATCTGAATTATTGGTTTCAAAAACAGAATTACAACAAAACATAACAAAAATATAAAATACGAAATTGAACATTTAACCCGACGCCTATGGTACACACAGTTTCCTTAAAATAGATTCGCTCCCTCACCTACGTGTTTGAGGTATAATTTGAGCGTCTGCTTCCCAAGATACAATGAAAGACCAGTAGAGTCTGAGTACCATAGAAGCTACTCCGACGAACTGAGTTAGAACCCGAACAATATCACCACCAGACTCAAACAGAAATGAAAACAAAGGCAAAGCTTGAATTGTATGCAGATAAATATTCAGATGAATTGTTGTACTGAAAACTGGAAAAAATCGAGGTATATATAGACCTTGGATCTTGTAACTTGCCAATTTACTACATGGCAATTACAGCAGGAGTTTTAGGAGTATCAACTGATTGAGAAAATGAAAAGTCANCTAATAAAATTGAAGGTTAGAAATTTAAATTCCAAGAAAATTAAATCAGGAACTGAATGCCTCTTTTGAGCATTAGATTGGAATTCTAGGTACAAATTTTCGTTAAGTGCCTCATCATAATACCCAGCAATTCATGCAACCAACCAGGATATATTGTTGGTTGGTATCAAACCAGTTAAGTCCGGAAGGAAGAGGTGAAAAAGATTACCCATTTTTCTTTTCTTTTTTATCGAATTACCTATTATGTCTTTGGAACAAAGTCTCTTGCACAAGACACATGATCACTGACCAATTAAACAAAAAAAAGGACTCAAATGCAACAAGATTTAAAGGTTAGAGATCTAAATACTAACAAAAATTGAATGGCTAATGTTCTTTCGCAGTTCCCAACAATTCACACAAGCAGGATATAGTTTTGTGTTGGTCCACAGCCTCATCCCATGCAATGGCAATGCACAAGCAAACAACAAGAAAGACAACTGATTTATCAAACTTGTTTTCTTCACTCTGTAACTACAAAAATATTAAGAATCATAATTAATAATCAATTAATCAATATTCATATAATCAAATCATGTACAGTTCAGACAAATGAATGATGCAACACTTTCCAAAAGCAGAGTCATCATATCATCAATCCTACCATCCAAGCAGATTATTCAACTAGTTCATACAATTGTTCCAAACAGATATTGGTAGTGTTAGATATGTTTGCCAGATGGATTTTCTCCAATCCATTCAAATCAAGTAATTTAGTGTGATTTCTCTCCAGTAAAATTGTAGGAAACTATGATAACTAGTGAACTAATACAGATCAACATCGAATTTGTTAATCTGAATTATTGGTTTAAAAAAAAATATATATATATATATATATATATAAAATACGAAATTGAACTTTTAACCCGAAGCATGTGTTACACACAATTTCCTTAAAGCAGATTCGCCCCCTCACCGTACGTGCTTGAGGTGTAATTTGAGCGTCTGCTTCCTAGAATACAACGGAAGACCAGTAGAGTCTGAGCACCACAAAACCCACTCCGACGAACAGAGTTAGAGCCCGAACAACATCACCACCAGACTCAAACAGAGACAAGACTTGAGTTGTATGAAGATGAATATTCAGATGAATTGTTGTACTGAAAACTGAGAAAAAACGAGGTATATATAGACGAGTTTCAACTGTTTTAGAAAATAAAAAGTCAGTCGAAAAATAAAATATAGCAAAACGTAGGCTCTTCTAAGGGGCCAATTTTTGGTCAATCCGGTCCGACATTCGTGTACGCAGGTCGCGCTCGCACACAAGTTCAAGGTCTGATATCTATTTCGGTCCGTGATTTGCACCTCCCTGCGCGCTCACGTGGAGTGAGCATATATGTTACACATGATTACACAATTCTAAAGTGTAATCCTTTATAAAGTGATTTTAGTTTTCATCAACTTTCTAGGCGGGACAAAACTTTAATTTTTAGTTTTCCCATCAATATAAACTCCTTTCAAATAGCATACTTTGAGCTACAATTTCTCATTCACCCGAGCATCATTTTTGACAAATAAGTATACGATTTCGATGTACTCACGGAGGAGAACACAAATCAACTTTCATCTTCCAAAATAGTCAAACGGGTCCCGCTCAAAATTCGTGCCAAAGTCACCCACTAACTCAATTTTTTCCAACAAAAATAAGGATCTTTCTAATCATGATCCATCAAATACAGGATAGATTAGTGGTCATATAGCCTTATTATAGGTCATTTTTGTACAAAAAACTATCCTGAAGAAATACAGTTTTCGTTCCTGAATGGTATCGGAGTCAGTACTCGTTTATTTTCGGATTTCTTTTCCATATTTTCGTTTAATTGGCGGGATCATATGAGGCATAAATTAGATGGATGCATAAAAATAAGAAAACAAAAAAGAAAGGAAGAAAAATTTATCTATTGTTAAAACACTTCGAGAGTACTGGAAAATTGTCATTGAATAAACTATGAAAGGATTCGTGGCAATGACAAACCGATCAAGTCAATTAACTTACGAAAAGAGTAAAAGACCGGTAGCTTGAAATGGCTTTCAGAAAAGAAGTCGATGATTCTCCATCAATCTTTTTGCATGTTACGTATAGAAAACCATATACGGATTTCGTGTACAATACGGAAGGATTCCATTGATATATAAACTCAAAGAAATGTTGTAGACAAGAATGAAGAGTTTAAAATTGTATACCACTAGAAGTAATATTGGATAAAAGAAGAAGATTATTGCTAATTATTTGTACTTATTCTTGATAGTCCTCATGGGGACTTTGTGAGAGAGATTTAGTTTAAGTAATGCAGCTTCCTCCACTTGTCCTTTCTTAATAACAATTCAATTAGACCTCCGATAGTTATAAATAAAAGACATTCAAGTATTCACAAAATACATTCAATGAAAAATTTCTCCATATTCGGTTATCTCTAGAATTTGTAATACAGTACCGACTTAAATATTGGAGTACTTTCGTAAGAATTTTCCGGTTTATTTTCCGCAAGTAATGTTCAGCGTCTAATGGTTTTAACAACAGTGATGGAAACTGAAACCTAACATGTTAACCCAAAATTGATGTCAACATTCTCTATCAAGCTAAGCTGTTATTTTGGGGAATTAGGAATACTTGTGTGTCAACATATGATTTAACCTCATATTGTTCCTTCACCATGAAGGAGACGTCTGGGTCCCACGTCGACTACTAATCACAAAATATTGATAACTACTGATTATATAATAAAATTGTAATGTAAACATCGAATAAGACTTCAAGGAGGAAAGAGAACTTCTCATGGAACTTTACCATAATAAATTATTGGATAATATGAGACCAATAGAGGAGTCTTTTCTCTATATTTTATTCTTGTTTCGTGTCAAAATCTATCGCCAAATTGATATATATAAATGATAACTGACATTAGAACTCAACAGCCCTTCTGCCCAGCAAACACAATCAAGAAAAATGATGCAATCAGAGGGAATTCCCCTCTCCTGGGGAACTTTTAACATCACATGCTCAAAACTTGATCAAACCAGATTTTATGATCCACAAATTGACTTCTTCATGGGGGATGATCCAGATTTTTCCTCTTCATTCGCTTCACCTAACGAAGCCTCTCTGATTTTTTCAAACTCAAATATTCCAACCATGTTTTCTGATGAGTTCTTTGATCTTCCGAACTTGGGTGATAAAATTCTGACCACTTCACCCATGGAGGGATTAGAAACTATTTCAAGTGAACAAATTACAGACATCTGTGGATGGATCAATGAAAGTGATTATGAAGGAAATTTTTCATCATCAGTCTCCATGTATGTAGAAGAATATAATCCCTGTTTTTCACTGGAATCTAGTGAGAATTCAGTGGTGTTTCCTTTAACGAACGGGTTAAAAACGTTGGCGGGAGACATGGAAATGAATAACGAATTGAGTCTCCGTCACCTATCAAGGGCTTATGGAGAGGCCACAGAGAATGGACAGAAGGAGCTTGCACAGGTGATTGTAAACTCCATAGAGAAGAAGAGCAATCCACTGGGCAATACAATGGAACGCTTAGCCTTCTATTTATTCCAGTCGAAAGAAAATCAAGGCGACTACCTGAGACTAGAATCAATCAAGAATTTTAGTGAAGCATTCAAGGCCTTCTACCAAGGCCTCCCTTATGGGAGATTCGCTCATTTCACTGCCAACTCGGCAATCCTAGGATCTATGCCGAATAATGCAACAACATTGCATATAGTAGACTTTGATATTGGAGAAGGGATACAATGGCCTCCAGTCATTGAGGTCATAAGTCGAACACATAAAGCACTAAAATTCACATTGTTAAAATCCGGTGATGAATGCAGCTCCCCTTGTCAGGACGTTGAGGGGACAAAAAAGCGACTCCAAGATCATGGAAGAGAATTAGGTCTGAAACTACAAATTGACGAAAAGAGTGTTTCAGATCTAGCAAGTGAATTAACCAGGATGAAAAAAAGAGGACAAGGCAGAGAGTGGTTGGTGTTTAATTGCATGTTTAGAATTCCGCACATGGCTAGAACTAGGCGAAGGAACCATGTCGAAGAGTTTCTAAAGGTAGCCAAGGAAATACTAAGCAGCTATGGAGCCTCTGCCGGAATGATGACTCTTGCTTATGGAGAAACAGAGATTTATTCAAGAGCTTATTCAGGTTATAGTTCATTCTTCGATGAACTTTTGAAGCACTACCAAGCGCTGTTTGAATCGTTAGAACAGAGTTTCCCAATTCATCTAGCAGAGGCAAGAACAGCCCTAGATAGTCTTTTTCTAGCACCTTATCTGAGCTCCCTTTCTTGGTTCCAAGACTGGGAGGAATCAAAAGAATGTTCTGATCTTCGATTAGAAACAGGATTGGAGGGCAGGAAACTGAGCCAAGAAAGCTTAGTCGAAGCTAAACAGATGGTGAACGGAAGAGAGAATTCTTACAAGGTGAAGATCAACGGACAGAGAGAAAATGAGATGGTGTTGGAATGGAAGGGCACACCTATGGTAAACGTTTCCACTTGGATGTGAAGAAGAAACTGGAAATCAATAGTGTAGGAGAAACTATTAACCCTGTATCTGTAGGAAGTTGCTATATATTCAGATCCTTTGTTTTGGTCCTAGTCTCTTTCTGATTAATCATGTAAAATGTGTTGTACTAACATGAAAAGGAGAACAGATATTCATGATCTACCTTATTTTTTACAAAACAAGAGATGTCGGAATTCAAGGTTTACCGTAAACAGTTATGTGGATGTTTGGGATTGGACAAGACCCCAACCTATAATGAATAAGATTTTAGATAATTTACAGTCCGGTATCATCCAAACTTCGCAAACAAGCATGCTATAAAGTCTAAAGAGTCATTCAGATTTCCAGTCAAGTTGGGAACTGTCCTGAAAGGGTGGGTAGAACTTCCCGAACAAGCCTTTAAAACTTCCTGTCCAACAATATAACCAAACACAGCACCAAATGCAAAGTTAGAAGAAGCTTTTGGACCTTCGGACGATCTCTTCAAGTCCCCATCAGGCAACCCATTGGTAATGCCAGTACCCTTAGATCCTCCAGTCCAGAAAGAGGAAGACTCCCCAAGTCCATAGCTTGAAATGCGAAGTGTAGGAGAGGTGGGTGGTCATGTCTAGAGAAGTCCCTCGGGAGAAAATCATTAGGATCCTGTCACGGGCGTGAAGTTCAAGGTCTTAGGTTCTTTTACTTGTGTCACAATACCATCTCCCTCATTTATGTTGTCCTCTTCAAATGTAAAAGATTACATCCTTGTATTTTTTATTTTCATTGGTTCTCCATCATTCAATTCTGTCATGCCTCACACTTCAGAAAAAACAAATATCTCCATCCTGAGACTCAATCCTTTCGTCAACAACATATGCCACAATAGAAAGATTGTAATTAGGAAGGAAATATGAACTCAGGACCAACGCAAAGAACATACAATCAAAACCACCCCAAAGTTGAGATTTGATGGGAGCAATCAGAGGATGGTGATTCTGCCAATAATCATCTATTCAATTTCCTTTTCTATGATAATATCAGTATATACAACATCCTGGCAACGGTTATGAAATGGTAAGCATATTGTGCAACACAAATTCTCTCAAAAGGTATAATAATTTCATATTGTCTTCAGGTATCAAACAGGTGGCGGGCAAGTAATACGAGCTTACATTACTTCTAAACTGTATCATAACAAAAAAGATCTAGCCATGCTAGAAATTATACAGAATCAACAAGAATAAATGACGGTTTTGGGATATACTTGTTCAACCTCCTCGTCTAAAAGCTACAAATATATTTTTTTAAATTTTGTTTCACCAATAGCATAGCACATCAAATTCTTATAAAAAAAATTTCTATTCCTCACGAAGATAATAACAAAACCATGATTCTTAAGCAATCAAAAAAAAAACAAGAGAGATTCAGTTTGAGTCCCTCAGGACCACTGAGGTGAGTACTCGACCATAAATTTCAGGGTCTCATGGGATTAGTCGAGGTGCGCGCAAATTGGCCCGGACATCAACGATTATCATAAAAAAAAAAAAAAAAAAAGGTTAAATAAAGAGTGGAACCTAATTTAAAAATAAAGAGCATAATATCTTGGTGACCCTCTTAGCTAGTGAATTTAATGACAAATTATATGGGCTCAAAGTTACCTGATAATCAAAAGGATTTTCTTTATTCAATTCTTCTGTTACGTAGATATAATTATAGATTTGTTCAGTTGTTGCAATTTCTGAATAGAAGCAAGAGCCCTATTCTTACCCTAATCTTCTTCAGCTGCAAAACAGACATATATTAGCATTACCCTCATTAACTATTTGTATCAATGGATTAATCAGATCCAAAACTTGAGATCGAGGTGTAAACCGAAAAAGATTCATATGTAGTTGTTAATGGAGTTGAAGTTACTGAATTCTAACGTATCAATTTATATCAAATTGCTCCATGTATAGTTCCTAACCACATTATCTAAACGAATCAGAGCCAATTTGAATTGATCGTGTAAAAGATTCGCTATAAAACAAATACATTTATTTTTCAAATGATTCATATCTTCAAGTGTATCCATTCCAAATTTCAGTTGAATCAATAAAAATATATTGTGTAACCATTATCTTTCCCTCCCTGCTTATACTTAAATATTGCAATTTAGATTGTTAAGCCCAACTCTAAAAAATGAATGTACAGAGATGCATCTCCAACAAACTTTTTAAATTTAAAAAACATCATTGTAAAAACTTTATACACAAAGCAACGATCATTATTTACAAATTGCTCATTTGAGCCCCCGTTAAAAGGTTCACAATGTATTTTGAAAGAGTAGATTGATGAAAAATATATGATTAAAAAATAAAAACAAAATTGGATTGCATGTAATATTATTTTATTAAAAATATGTGGTAAAAAAAAAGATGAAGAAAATAAAAATAGAAATCAAACAAGGGCAAACTCTTTTTTCTATATATTCACTTTCAACTATACATTTACACTATAAAATAATTAAAACGTAAACCCAAAACTCTTTCCTATTTTTTTACTACTCATTCTCCAAAGATGACAGATCGTGAAGCCCATCTAGCAGTGCCTCCTGAAAATTCACAAGTCCACCCTGGCAGGATTCCCAAAAAAGGTCAATTTGCATGGAAGTGGAGATAATTAGCCTACTCGGTATGTGTAAGCCATTACGTATGTGTTTTATACATACTCTGAACAGAAATAATGTACTTTTTAAATGGTGTACGGTGTTGCACAATCAACTCTACCAAACATCCCACAACGGTGAACAATGGAGAAGAAAAGCAGCAGGAGGAACTCTGAATCAACATATATTCAAAGGCAAATAAGGTCAGCTGTTATTTTACACTAGGCTTCTGTTTTGTTTTGGTAAACTGTACATCTCCATTCAGTACTGAACTTATAAATTTCTCGGTTTCTTCTTCGGTTGCTTCACCCTGAAATACAGCGTAAGTTCCTCTCTTAGGTTTGTACGCCAGTAGGAGGTTGTCTGATGACTTGAATCCCGACTTATCAAAGGCATTCAGAAACTGTTGCTGCTTAGCAGCGTCGAGAAGAGCATATGAAACTGAATCCCTCGAACTAGAGGCTATACTCCGTCTCATGAAAGATTTCTGAGACACCTACAAAGACAAACAGAAAATAAGAGGGAAAAAAAGGAGTAAAACTCGTTCAAATCTGTACAATGAAAGTGATAGTCCTGCAGCAGTTATTCAGTAATTTCTTCATGTTGATGTATCCCATAATGGCATCAAAGTTCAGAGTTAATTGGAACATACTTCAAGGAAAATTTGGCTAGTTTGAAGGCATCAAAACATTCGAAAAACTAAAAGCAATAAAATGGTCGTGTCCATCTAAATCAAGATTACTAACCGAGTGCAGAATCTTTCCGAGTTTGTCCTTTGCTTTTGATGACCTGAAAGCGCCAATTATACAGACAGGAGTTTTCTCTCTGCATATATCATTAAAGTTAGATCCTGTAAGCAACTTTATGTGTTCATCCTTCGATTCAGTATGCTCCTTTTTCGCTGAAGCTGCCTTTTTATTTTTTTTCTCAAAATAGTCAAGCAAGCCACTAAGGTCTTGAATAGTAGACTTTAGATCTTTAACCGATACCCCAGATTTTAGGATATGCTTCTCTCCATTTGATAGCCAACCAACAATAGTTGGAAGTGCATCAACACCTAACTTTTTCACAGATGAAATGTCCTGAACCTGTACAATAGAAGTCTTTTGAGAGAGGAAGTAAAAATGTAAACTAGAACATCTCAGTTCTGTTTGCAGTTGATAAAGAACTCATAAAATATTTATGCTAATTACACGAGCAGGCACACGTCCAATATTCTTATCACAGTAAATTCAGTAATTACCTCAGCGTCATAGAAGACAAAACGTTTGCGATATAACCCGCTAAGAGCACGCCAGATGACAGGAGTATCCTTCTTTGTAGAGAGAAGCATCACTTTGGGTAAGTTTCCAGCATTCTCAGAAGCGATATCCAAATGACCCAAGTCAATGCGCTTTGAAAATCTTGGTAAATAATCTTTAACAAAACTTTTCACTCTCTTCTCGTCCAAATCACCAGTGTACTCCACCAAGGAACCACTTTCACTCGATTTATACGAGTAAACAAACACTCTAGGAGCTCTGCGAGGATATACACCAAGCTCCTGGCAAAAAGATGCATCACTATCGCAATTTATGCTACCAGCCTATAAAAAGAATAGCATATTAATGAAAAGAAGTGAGAAATCTAATAATCGGTGGTACAATGGAAACAGAATAATGAATTACTACCTCTAATGCTCCCTGTAGTGAGCTCTCAACCTCCTCGATAACAGATTCATAATGTTGGATTCCTTGACGATTGGACGAATGAGAAATTAAGAGCCAGGTCATCCCTTTATCAAATATTTCTTTCCTATACAACTGAGAATTTACAGCAGGGAGACTCTTAGAAGGTCCTCTACCACTATACTGAGAACTGCCTGATCTACCGAAACCACCAAACTGATTCCCACCTCCCGCATCACCTCCAAAAAAGTTGGAAAAAATATCATCTAAACCAAAGCCAAATGAGCTTTGCCTGCCACTACCAGAGCCAGGACCACTAAAAGAAAACGAGAATGATTCTGAACCTTCTTTCCCACCCATATTTTGCCATCCACCTGGCTTGAAATTAAAACCACTCTGCCCTGGTCCACCACTTGTGAAATAGCTGTGTCCACCGTGATCCCCAGGGTTTCCCCCATCAAATCCAGGTCTGCCCTTTTCATCCCCATAAAGATCATAATTTTTCCTCTTCTGCTCATCAGATAGAATGTCATATGCTGAAAACAAAAATATTAGAATTTTACTACTTCGAGAACACAAAGAAGATAAACAACCAAAAAATCAAGTGAAACAAAAAAGGAGTATAGTTTTTCATGGTTTGAACTTTAATTTTTGGGGAAAAATATCTCTTCAAGAGATACTCATCAACTAGAGGTTAGCTCTTAAATCAGTTCAAATGGAAATCAAAAACCTGGCACCATATAGTAGACAACCACCGATATTATAACAATAAGGGCCTTATTTAGAATCAAATCTTAGATACCATTTGTAATATCAGAACAATTTTATTGTTCATGAGAATATGTATAGCTGGCAGGCCTATTTTGGCGGCCAAAGAAAGGAGAGATTGGGGGAGGGTGTTGAGGTTGAAACAGAATGAAAAATATGCTATACCATTATTAATCTCTGCGAACTTCTCATTGGCACCCTTGTTCTTATTCTTATCCGGATGATATTTGAGTGAGAGCCTACAATCATGCATGCCTTTGCATAAGATTAATGTACAGCTTTGTAAAATATAGTACAAAAAATAAAATGAACTAAACCTTTCACACTGCACATACTTGTGGAAAGCTTTCTGAATTTCACGTTGACTCGCGTTTCGATCCACCCCAAGTACCTGATAAAAATTATAAGTTGTTAGAAGCTAAACAACAAAATCCTGTATAAATTGCTAACCAGAAATATAAAATTTAACAACTATTCATTATTCTCAAGAGAACAAATACTCGTGCAGTAAATTCGAAACACCTCTCTGCACAAATAAATTCCGTGAACATCATATAGTATTCAATGTTGAACAGAATGAGAACTACTACTTCGGTTTACCATAAATCAGGAAGCTATTTCATCTACATTTTGAAACCTCGTATTTCTTATATTCAAAGAAATTGTCTGAGAAGAAAATCAACGTATTTTTCCAATTCCAGTAAATCTTGTTCGGGGCGTTCGCATTGTCTAACAAAGAAATTCAACATATTTTTCTAATTTTCCCACCCAAACCTAATTATGAAATATTATCACACGTTATCATATATACAATATTAGCAATTTCGCCCTTGCTGCAGAAAATAAATTAAAAAGCTCATAAACGCGTAATTTTCCAGCATCCACAAAAACACTCAAAAAATTCCCCAAAAAAAAAAGGAACTTCCAGAAATACACATAATATTGAAAAAGTGCTTACTTTATACAGGTCAGGTTTGTTCGATTCTACCGTGAGAAGAAACAGTACTCCGACAATAAAAATCCTTAGTTTTAATCTTATCTTCATCTATTAATCTTATTGAATATGTACGAAAACTGATTTCTGCTGCGTATTTTTCGCAAAAAAAATAAAAAATACTAAATTCTTCGAATTAAACGGTAGAGCCGGAGGAGGGGGCGAAATAAATAGATATCGCGGGGAAATTCTAGAGCGTTCGGGCGTTAAATTACACGTGGTGCTTAACATGGGCTCCACGAGTCTTGACCAATAGGATTTTAGAATCCCTGATTGTGATGTTGTAAGAATTTTAATTAGGACATGTGAGTAAATTGGATTATGTAAATTGTCTTCCAATTTGAATGGAATAGATAAATTTTTCATTTGCATATTTATTAGTAAAAAAATCTTTGGAAGAAAGATGCGAGCTACTTCCAAGACGATATGAGATTCACTTGAAAATTTCTGAGGAATACTATTTTCACAGTATGGACAATTCGACTCCTTTCATAATGGGCTCATGGACAGAGTTGAACTACACGAGTAAAATGAGTGAGCTTTGCAAGTCGGCTCAATTTGAGCAATAGTTGTGTCGCGAGTAAAGCCTAGCATCTTGGTCAACGAGCTCATGAGTTGGCTCAACTCGATTAATTGTCACCCTTAGGAGAGAGAGGTTGAAATAGTAAGGACCTAACTTGTCATAGATTTTTCCTTCAATTGCTATCAAATTATAAATAATATATTTTTATCTCAATGTACGGTGTTACTATTTATTTTTAATAAAAATTTCTTTAAAGTTATATAAGGATGGACTAAGATATCTAGTAGATTAAATATATACTTTGAATTATTTCAATTAATTAAACTATTAAAGTACATGTTCCAAAACTAAAATAAAATGCACATTTAGTATTTTTCATGAATTAGTAAGTATAAGACAATTTTTGATATATTTTAGTATGGCCTTTTCACAGGCACAATTGTGAGAGTTCAGAAAAATTTGGAAGGCTTGATATAAGTTGTGTCCACGATTTAATGACTGAACTATCAACTTAAAAAATCAATATTACACAAGTATGTGAATATTTAACTATGTTTACTGTTTTTCCTTATATAAAGATATTGAACATGTTAGACTTCCAGTTAAATCTCGATAAGTAATTTTCGATAAAATAATAATCTCGATTATACAATAGTTTCTTTCGATCCCGACTTGGACCAATGGACTAAAGTAATAACCTCGTTGAGTAAATTGGATTATGTAAATTGCCTTCCAATTTGAATGGAATAGATAAATTTTTCGTTTGCATATTTATTAGTAAAAAAATCTTTGGAAGAAAGATGCGAGCTACTTCCAAGACGATATGAGATTCACTTGAAAATTTCTGAGGAATACTATTTTCACAGTATGGACAATTCGACTCCTTTTATCATGGGCTCATGGACAGAGTTAAACTAGACGAGTAAAATGAGTGAGCTTTGCAAGTCGGCTCAATTTGAGCAATAGTTGTGTCGCGAGTAAAGCCTAGCATCTTGGTCAACGAGCTCATGAGTTGGCTCAACTCGATGAATTAATTGTCACCCCAAAGAGAGAGGTTGATATAATAAAGATCTAACTTGTCATAGATTTTTCCTTCAGTTGCTATCAAATTATAAATAATATATTTTTATCTCAATGTACGGTGTTACTATTTATTTTTAATAAAAAAATTCATATAAAGATGGACTAAGATATCTAGTGGATTAAATATATACTTTGAACTTCAATTAATTAAACTATTAAAGTACATGTTCCAGAACTAAAATAAAATACAATGCGCATTTAGTATTTTCATGAATTAGTACGTATGAGGTTGTTGTTATTAATGTGTCAATTAATTAATATATTTTAGTATGGCCTTTTCACAGGCACAATTGTGAGAGTTCAGAAAAATTTGGAAGCCTTGATATAATTTGTGTCCAAGATTTAATGACTTCGAACTATCAACTTAAAAATCAATTCTATACAAGTATGTGAATATTTAGCTATGTTTACTGATTTTCTTTATATCAATCACCTTACGTTATAGGTATAAATGCAATAATCATTGTTCGTATAGTTAAATTGAAGTTGTTAGTCAAGTCAAAACGGACATATATAAAAAAAGCAAATGAAAAAAGGAAAATATGGTTCAATTTTTTATCAAACAGAGTTTCAAGTGAAGTCTCAAAAGTAGTTAGTATGAGTCTTGTACTTTCAAAACGATTGAAAAGGGTTATAAAATGACCCAAAATTTTACACCATTCTTTGTCTCTAAAAACAGCATGTTTATTCTAAATCTAGGATCTTGTCTGGTACCGCTTTTTTACCCAAAAAAATTGATTTTGTTACCCTTTTTTTCAAACTTACAGCCCCCACTAAGAGAGAAGTTAGTCCACAATTATAACTGAATAGTATTCTTAACAGTTGGAATTCTGCTGAATAGCAAAAACAGACAAGCTCTAGATTTACTATCTCGTAAGGTTGTCTCTTTACCTATTTTCCACTTAACCTCACTATGATTTTGTAGTGTCAAAAATCTAGAAAACCATGCTACAATTTTTGAGATGTTACTCAATCTCAACTCGTTTATGCCTTCATGAATTATGATGACCCAAATATCCATTATGCATTGAACTAGCCTTGATAGTACATTATTTAGTGCATATGCACTAAAGAGTTCTTCCCTAAGAGGCAAGATCCCAATATGCTATGGATCATATACACAATCACAAACGCAAGAGCCTCTTTATCATTTCCTATGAAACCTAACCTATGTAGTATAACATGCTACGTTTTAATTCTCCATTTGGCTAATTCATCTTCCGTCCCCGTGAAATATGTGCATCATATATTACAAGCATAAATGCAAGAATCATTTTTTGTATAGCTAAATTGAAGCTTTTCGGTCAAGTCAAAATCGACATATACCCTAAAACAAAATGAAAAAAGAAAAATACAGTTCAATTCTTCTCAATCAAAGTTTGGAGTGAGGTCTCTGAAATGGTTGGTGCAAGTCTTGCACTTTCAAAACGATTGAAATGGTTACAAAAGATCTCAAAATTTCACACCCTTCTCCGTCTCTAAAAATAGTAAATGATTCTAAGTTTACATTAACTATCACGTTAAGGCCATCTCTTTAGATGTTTTTCCACTTTAATTGCATTGAAAATCTAGAATACCATGCTATAATTTTTGATGTGTCACTCAAATCTAAACTCATCCATGCCTTTATGATGATCTAAATATCCATTATGCATTGAACTAGCCTTGATGGTACATTATTTAGTGCATATGTACTACAAAGTTCTTCCCATGATGCCATGGGCAATATGCACAATCACAAACATGAGAGCCTCTTTATAATTTCCCATGAATCCTAACCTATGTAGCTCTCAAATTTTACATGTTAGTACAACATGCTATGTTTTAATTCTCCATTTGGCTCATTCATCTTCTGTCCCCGTGAAATATGTGCATCTTATATTAGAAGCATAAAATGCAAGAATTATTTTTTGTATAGCTAAATTGAAGTTTTCAGTCAAATCAAAACCGACATATATAAAATAACAAACGAAAAAAGAAAAATACAATTCAATTCTTCTCAATCAAAGTTTGGAGTGAAGTCCCTAAAGTAGTTGGTGCGAGTCTCACACTTCCAAAACGATTGAAGAGGTTACAAAAGGACTCAAAATTTCACTCTACTCTGTCTCTAGAAATAGTATGTTTATTCTAAGTCTACATTTACTATCTCATCAAGGCTTTCACTTCAGATATTCTTCCACCTAATTGTGTCGAAAATCTAGAAAATCATGCTATAGTTTTTGAGGTGTCACTCGATCTCAACTCATCTATGCCTTCATGATGATCCAAATATCCATTATGCATTGAACTAGCCTTGATAGTACATCACTTAGTGCACATGCACTAAAAAATTCTTCCCTAAAAGGCAAAATCCCAATATGCTATGGACAATATGCACAATCACAAACATACGAGCCTCTTATTATTTCCTGTGAATCCTAACCTATGTAGCTCTCAAAGTTTTACATGCTAGCATAACATTCTATGTTTTAATTCTCCATTTGGCTAATTCATCTTCTGTCTCCATGAAATATGTGCACCTGAAAGATCTTTGAATGAATCGGATCAAATTCACTCGATACATGAAATAAAATTGAGACAACTACAAATCCAAATTTGAGAATAATTCTTCTCTAGATTAATTTCCATTTTCTACAGTATCTTTTCCTGTCTAAAAAGAGAAGGATACAGAAAAGCTGTGTACATTCAGTATAATCATTCGAAAACATTTGTAACCATCAACAGGCACAGCTTAGCAACAAATTGCAACAGAACAGTCAAAATTTCAAAGATGATAAATAAAATAGGAATTTCTCATCCATGTGAATTTTCATCCTTGGTTTCTTCATTGGCCGCCTCATCTGCTTTCTTACCTGAAAAATAAAATTCGCGAAAGCATTTATCTACTAAGCAGAATGATGTACGCTGCATATGTTCGAAAGATATGATTTCCAACTTGCCTTTTTTCTTCTTCCCTCCACCTTTCTTCTTCATCTTCGTGCCTAAAGATAACCAGGCTTTTATCTCAGGGTCATCTACTGTTTTAGTAGGCTGCAATTCCTGTAGAGAATGGGATGTGATGCGGTCCGACCCATTTGGCATTAGCAAAACAGTGAACTTGATGTGTGCAACTAGATCACCTGCAATGCAATCATAAATATCCAAATAAAGTCCATGTTTGGCTAATTTACTAGTAAATTTACTTGTATCAAACTAAATATTTTTTTTCATTTATCAAACCATGAGGTAACAGTTACTTTGTAGAAAAAGCAACATTTTATCCTAACATGATAGGAGACAAGTTACACTTCTTTCAGCTTCAAATATTCACAAAATCCTAAGAAGAATAACCGTACCAGGCTTCTCATGAAGAACAGGATATGGCTCCAAGAGGTCATGATTAAGACATTCTACTAGGCCAAGTCGAGCGCGCTTTTCTTCCAAAGCCCTGTTATACTTTCATCCTGCTCATTATCTTTGCTAAATAACATACAGCTAATAATAAATCGCATACTTTGAAGGTTGCAAATAAAACAAAAGAGCGAGACATACCTAGCAGTAAACGGCATTATTGGAAACTTCTGGTTTATCTCACTATATATGAATCGAGATGCTTTCATCTTTAGATGGTAACTCTTATCAACAGCTCTCTTATAAATGGTTGTCTGTTTCTCATCCAATAACTTGGGCTGTGCAAGTTTAATATGCATTCCATGTTAGGGCTAATAAAAACTAAATTTAATGTTTGCTCTAAGAAGAACCGAGTATAATTATTACCTTGCCTTCACCAGTGCTTGTAACTATATCGATAGCATAAACCTCATTCTCCTCAAACTCAGCATCATCTACTCTTGTTTCTGGGGCTGAAACACTCAATACAACCTTGTTTCCCTCAATTACAAATTGTTTCTTTTGATGACTGAGCACCCCTTCCACAATCTTGCAGTCATAAGCAGCAGCAACTTTCTGAATTGCTTCAGTAACATCTTTGTTCTGCCATTAACAGAAACATAAAAATCATTAGGAATATGTCAACACATACGAAAGCAATTTGAGACTGAGCAATAAATATCAAAACAAACACGGTATCAAATATTAAGTTGAACGGAAAGATGGGAAGAATTGTGAACATTTCAGCAAAGCAAAATGTCAAGAGCTGATGGCATGTAAATCAGTCTCAATTATCATATATACAACCTATACCAATATTGGCAACAGTGAAAAGAGGAAACTCAATAGAGGAATTGATTACCTCAGCAAAGTTGCCTTTTTCAATTCAAAAGTTCTCACCAGAGACATTAAAACTATACCACATGAATCTAAGCAACTTCAATTTAATTTAGACTAACACGAGCACTTTAATATTCACGTTCTTATGCTCAGGCGAGCATTTGACATTGCCCTATCAGAGTAACTATGACAAAAGATTCACCTGGAATATTATTCCATAGCTTTTTACTAGTACTTCATCATTTAGAGGCTCATTTAACTGATAAATTATAGTTTCACATCAAGCAAGGTCACCGAAAACTATTAGCTTCAATCGACTTAGACTACTCTTTGAGCACCATACCAGAGGTGTTATTAATATTAAATTCCATGTTGGCACACTGGTGGCTAGTATAGTAAGAACTCACCAGCAGAAATATTCAAGCAGGCCACTTTCATTATAGGCAACAGGGAAAAGAGGAGACTCACAAAAAATCAATCGCCTCGGCAAAGTTGCCTTCGCTGGATCCACTGTACATATCTCTACTTCCAATTCAAAACCACTTCGAGAAAAATCTCAAAGCAAAAAAATAATTCACATGCAAGTCGCTGTAAATTCTATTAGGGGCTCCGAAAACAGATTGATATAACGCGAAGACAAAATCTCGCTCACTCGCTGAATCGAAATATTAGGCTCTGTAAACTGTAATCTGCAAAGGTACCCTCCTGTTTCAACGTTTCTACGCTCTCTCCGGTTTGGACCAAACGGATGTATTAGAAACCGAAACGGTTCGGTCTACATTCCTTTAGCCACGGTTCGGTACACATTAAAATTTTTATTCTCATTCTTTTATTCATTTTCAACCACATATCTTCAATAAAATAATAATTTTCATCACATTAATAACTTTTCCTTCCTTTTCAACCATACATTCTCCATCAATCTACTATTTGTGGCTCAAACACACCCTAAATGCTCTTCATGAGTACCCCATAACTCATCTCAATGCAAAGACTACACTTCAAACATTATGCTGTAAACTACTAAATACAATGTCGGCACACTTGAATTGGCTGGAATGGTAAGAACTCACCAGCAGAAATATTCAAGCATGCCGATTGTAATATAGGCAACAGGGAAAAGAGGAGACTCACAAAGAATCAATCGCCTCGGCAAAGTTGCCTGTGTAGCTCTATAAAATTCAGTAAATCAGTATTACTATGTTCTTCACAAGTACAGCATATCCCATCTTATTACAATTCATCTTACTAGACTACCATTTAGACATTATGCTGTATGCTACTGAATACAATGTCCGTACACTTGAATTGACTGATATGGTGAGAACTCACCAGAAGAAATACTCAAGCAGGCAAATTGTAATATAGGCAACAGGGAAAAGAGGAGATCACAAAGAATCAATCGCCTCGGAAAAGTTGCCGGTGTAGCTCTATAAATTTCATTAAATCTGTAGTTCTATGTTCTTCACAAGTACAGCATAACCCAACTTATTACAATTCATCTTACTAGACTACTCTCTAGACATTATGTTGTAGGATTTACTACTATTAAATACAATGTTGGTATACTTGAATTGGCTGGTATGGTAAGAACTCACCAGCAGAAATATTCAAGCAGGTCAATTGTAATATAGGCAACAGGGAAAAGAGGAGACTCACAAAGAATCAATCGCCTCGGCAAAGTTGCCTGTTAGCTCTATAAATTTCATCAACTTATTATCAATATGTTCTTTACAAGTACCCCATAATTCATCTTATTTCAATGCAACTTTAGATACTAAAAATTAGATTCTAAGCAATAGGAGCAGCATATATGAATAGACTTGAGCAAAAGTAAGATGGTGTCCCCTATCAGAGTAACTATGACAAAGCTTCACACGGATGTCAATCCATAGCTTGTACAAAACTTTCATCACTTAGAGGAACCACAAAGGACATACTTCAATTTGAGATGTACGTGCAATCATGCCTTTTGATCCATGTACAAGCAATAAAGAAAAATTTAACATCAACCAATAAGATAGTAATTTCATGTCAAGAAAGATCACAAAAAGTTATTACCAATGATCAACTTAACCTAATAATGCTTCGGGCATTATACCGGGCAATTTAGTAAGCACTTCACCAATCAATCGATCGTCTCGAAAAAGTTGCCGGTGTAACTATATAAATTCTCATTCGATTTGTATCGCTTTGTTATTTACATGTACCTCGTATAATCAATGAATTAAAATACAACTTCAGATACTAACAATTAGATTCTAAGCAATAGGTTCAATGCATATTAACAGACTAGAGTAGAAGAAAGATGATGGTCCCCTATCAGAGTAACAATGACTAAAGCTTCACATGGATATCAATCCATAGCTTGCACAAAATTTTCATCACTCAAGGTAACCTGGAAGGATTTACGTAAAGTTGAGATGTACATGCAATCACGCTTACTGGTCCACATACAAGCACTAAAGAAACGGCCAAGACACAGGCATATGATTCATTTAGTATCATAAATAGTACATTGAAATTAAATTTTTATAATGGCAACCATATGACATATATTCTTCATTCATAGAATAAGTACAAATTAAATGAGACCGAATAGGAAGCAACATGAAAAACAAAAATATTGAGAAATCAAAATGTCACAAATATTTATGAAGTTAAACAGAAGTATGAGAACGGACATTACAGCAGAAAACATATACAAAATAACACATTGTGGAGTTCGGCAAAGAAATAGACAACCAACACGTTAATTGCAGTAGACACAGTTTAACTAAATTAAGCTGTGACAAAATTGGAGTAAAACTCAAACTTTCAATTGCACATAACTCAGAGAATTGTAATTTCCACATGTGAAGGCAGCCATTCAATTGTCAAAAAATTAATGAACTTCATTTGAAAAAAGGAAAACTCAAGAAGCAACTTACATTTTTCCCCGGCCTGACCAGCCTCAAAGCAACCTCTGCAGCAGTATTTGCAGCAGCAATGACATCAGCTGCTCTTCCCGTAACTGGTCCTTGCTGAAGAACATGGGTGTGCGCAACAACCGCAATAAAACCATCTATGTGACACCCCATATCACTGCATTCCAAGAAAACCACATCATTTCACTATTTGCAAAAAAATATTGGGACAACGCACAACGTCTCATGCATGTACATGTTATTAAAAGCACAAGAAAAGCTTACATTTTTAACACGTCACCCTCTTCCAACACAGTCTCATCACTGGCCAGCGGAGAAACATGGCAGACTGTGTTATTAACCGAAATGCAAGTAGGGAATGCCACACCCCTTTCAATCTTTTTCTTCACATTCTTGTACATATTTCCTGTTTGCCTAAAAATTAAGCACATCGTGCAACCACTTAATTGCAATACACCCCAAACATAATTATGGATAGATCACACATGTATAAATAAATATATTTTCTTATAATCCTAATTAACTTTCGTGGCAAATTAAATGAAACAAAGAGCTTACTCTCGGACGAAAGAATCCCCTTTCTCACAGATGTCAACAATCTTAGCTTTCGGCTTGCATTCAGACAACAGCAACTGCAATGCCTCTGCATCAATTGAAGAAAATCTATTAAAAAATAAAATCCAAAATACCCAACAGAAGACAAAAATAAAAAAAGAACTATTCTTTCCGCTGTAAAATCATATATAGAACACACAAAAACAAGCATGCGCGGCGCACAGAGTATATAGGGTTCGGAGCCGTAACTGTTAACAATTTCAGCAGCTGATTTGTACTTAGTGACGACTTCAGGAGAGGTGAGATCCAACTCCCTCTCCTCTCTTTCCTCATCCGACATTGTCTTCAACCTTCAACAATCACAGAAAAAATAGAACAATTAAAGGACCAAAAAAAAACACGTCTTCAGAGATCAATAAACGTAAATCTAAATGAATTGAACAAAAATTGAACAGAATTAAATTGAACTCACCAAGAACAACTGCAGAAGATATGATGGTGTGAAAACTAGGATTTAGCAAGTAGAGATGAGGTGAGTTGGCGACGTTAGGGTTGAGGGTCGGCACTGGGGATGTGGATTATATAGTGTGATTTGGGTAGGGTTTTGAGGAGTGAAAAGGGTAAAAATAATTAATTAGAGGGATTTCCAAAATCGAAAATAATTTTCTAAATCACTTGCTTGCAATTACCTTGAAGTACAAAGACATTTTCCTTCAAGAATTTGTTTGGATTACTCAAAATAAAAGGATGTAAAGATGATGATCGTGTCATTGTCGTTACCTTGTCTTTATCATTTTCTATTTTCTAATGTCAATGTTTACTTATTACATTCAAATAATCGAGTTAGTTGTGTTTACAAAAAAAATAAAAATAATGAGAATTGTGTAATTGTATATCAGAATTTCCGATAAGTGCAAGTACATTGTTGTAACATAACGTGTGTAGATGAATTTGACAAGGGTTAAACCCCTTTACCAGGGCCACATCTAGTAATGCAACCTGATTCATTTGACAATTACTATCTATCCAAGCATAATTTCTTTCACTAGAACAGATTCTAAATCGTGGCGGTAAATGAAACTAGTTTACATACCTACTATTTCTATTTAAAGGTTTTCGTGAACGCACGTTACCAACTTTGAAGCAATGCAAAGGTTTGAAGAATCTAACATTAGTTTTGATCGGGAAAGTTGTGTGAAGACATCGATCATTTTGTATCAGGTTTGAAGGGTGATTTCTTATGGGTCATGACAAACCTACAACCTTATCGATCATTGCTCAAGAGCTTCATCTAGTTGTTGTGTCTAGTTTGAGAGGATATTAGACAACTAGTTGAGTCTCTAGATAGCGTTCCAAATTTGCAGTCTTCATGCCCAGTGGATTAATCCTAGGTTGGGTTGGTGAGATAGAGAGGGGATCAAGTCAAGTGTTTCATATGACTGACCTCCACAAATGCTAAATATAGTATATCAAGAATCTCCAAAATTATCAGTATTGGTATTATATCTTACCTTGTGTGATGGAGATCGAGTCTTCATGAAAATTAATATATTTATTAGAAAAAATCCTTTTTAACATATAGATAACATGTAATTGATATTTCTCCTAGAGACTGCAATTATTCATCTGCTGTTCTTAATGGCTCGACTCTTAAAATCAATCGTGATTTTTAAAATATAAGAAAATAAGTTCAAATTGTTGTACTAAGTGAACTCCAAATTCCGCAAGGTTTAAATACTACACAAAGTTACAAAAAGTATTCTTTTAGTATTCATTCTTGTGTATAAAGTCGAAATATCCACTACAAGAAATAAATTCAATCTCATGTTCTTTTTCTTTCTACCTTATTCCGTTGTTTCCCTTATGTTGCTCGGCATATATAATGTATTAACTATTAAGCTCATAGGAAGAAGAAAGAAGAAAATAATCGATATATTAGTAAGTTAGCATTAGAAACTCTTACTGTTAGGGTCGTGCAATTCTACCTTTCAATCTATGAAGGTACGAGTGAGTATCAAATATTAGGTCTTGTATATTGAATATTAGAGTATATTCATTAGCCAAGATTGTAGCTAGTAGCATATTAAGCCCCTATTTGTAGCCATTTTTTTGGAAAATAATATTTTTTT